TTTCAAGACTGTTTAAGCTGTATCTTCCCCACATGGATGCCCCAGATAGCCCCAATTCAGAATTAATATTTTCTTGCTTGAATTTCCCACTGCATACTTCTATTTTAGAATTGATCACTGATCATCTTGCATTAAATTTCATGTGTATGTCTGCTCCTTCCATCAGCATGAGCCCCTAATTGTCAGGGTGAAGGTCACATTCACCTATGAAAGCACCCCCAGTCCTTTATCAACACAGTTCCTTGTGAGGGCAATCTTTCAGTAAATTTGGGGTTACTTAAATTGAGCTTCTCACATAGGAGAGTAGAATCATTCATGACTATGCTTTGAGTTGAGAGCCCACCCCTGAGGGCTAACTAGCCGGTGAACTTTTCCCACAGTGACTGTAAGACCGTGCAAGCTATCATTTTCCAAGCTGAAGGGAAAACTCAGCTTTAAGCATCTGGAGATTTACTTAACTAAAGGACTCATTCCACCAGAAAGCATAATTGTGATCTCTCTTATTATCCAGAGTATGAATAAGAATCATTATAATGATAAATTAGTGGCAGGAGCCATGGATTTTTAGAAAGGAAAATTAATAATGCACCATGGAATTATATTTATAGACTCATTCAAGGCATTCTTTGCACATACTTCTTAACAATAAGAATTCATTCTATAGCACTTTACAGTTGATGTATCAGAGTATGATTTTATCCCCACACCCACACAGAGACGCTGGGCCCATCACCAATTTACAGAAAGAAAACCGAGGACCAGGCACACAAAGAGACAAAGGACTGTTTAGCGCTAGAGTTGGGTCCCAAATGTAGGACCCCTGGCTCCATCCTGGGTTCTCGTCTCCCAGGCATTGTGTCACCCAGATTGAATGTCTATCTGCTGAATGTGTCAGCCCCAAATTCCTATGTTGAAACCTAGTCCACAATGTGATGGCATATGGACATGGTCCTTTGGGAGGTAGTTAGGTCATGAGGGTAGAGCCCTCCTGAATGAGATTGGTGCCCTTACAAAAGAGGCCCCAGTGGGATCGTACTCTGTCCACGTGAGGGCACAGTAATGGCCTGACCGCATTCTGTTAACCAGGGCACAGGGCTTCACGAGACAAGGGACTTCCCAGCCTCCAGAACTGTGCGATAGAGGTTTGTGGTTTAAGCCACTCAGGCAAAGATATGTTCATTATCACAGCCTGAATCACAGGACTGAGACTCACTGGCAAGGGTCTTAGGAACCTCCTAAAGACAAAGTTTTCCAGTGAGCAGCTCCCTCTCCAGGCCCCTGGGGTGGGCGGGACCTTGCTGGAGGCTTGTTTGTGTGTTTGTGCCACTCCAGCCCCACATGGGCGAGCACACTTTACATGTCTCACTGCTGTGGAATTGTTCACTCCAGGCTATTCTAGTATCCATGGTTCTTAGACATTTTTGGAGACTACTTTCCAGTTTTTACCCAAGTCCCCTACCTTCAAAAAATAACCTGTGTCTTAACCCTCTAAATCAGTCCTATATTCAGGGCACTTTCACCCAGAACAATAAACTGCCTATTCTTTCAGTATCTTCTTTCAAAATGAAATTGGTGACAGTTGTATTTGGAGGAGGGATTATTCTAAGTGAGCTAAATCTTCATCTATTAGTAAAGCATTAATTTTGATATGATCTTCCCAGTTACCTAGAACAGAGATTGGTTCACAGAAGGGGCTCAATACATATTTAGTGTTGAAATAAGTAAATGGAAAACTAGAAATAGCATTAATAAACGTATTATTTAGAGTTGTGGAGGTAATCTTAAGTAAAACCAGAGCAAGGATGTTTAGAAGCCATTGTCTGTGAGTGAAATGACTCATGGTGGGAAGGGCCTGAATCAGGAGACTGTTGCCTTTATTGCACCTTCTGGAGTGTTTGACTTCAGGGAGGAGTCAGTCTAATCCAAACTGAACCCTTTCCTAGGCATTTCTACTTGCAAATTGTACCCTCCCCACCTGAAAACTGAAAACCACACCACTAGGGAGAACAAAGACCCTGGGTCTGCACATGTTTGAACCATGTGGCTGTACTACTTTAATAAAAATGCAAACACTAAATATATTTTACAAATCAGTCAGTTTATATTCTTTGCACTTGTGGTTTCTGGATTGCATAAACAAAGGACCAAAAGTCTCCAGCAAGCATCCTTTCTTTCATTCTCTTCCCTGTAGCCTAGAGCAACAAGGTCAAATGGAAGAAGTAAACAAACACCAACAGGGGAGCACAGAGCCCTTTCACAAGTTCAACAGTGTTTCATGCAGAATAGTTTGCTAAACCCTCTCCCCATCAATCATCTCATGAACCGGTGCCCAAAGTATGCTGGGCCCAAACCATCCCCCAACTCCTGCTGTGCCCACTGAGTCCCAGCCCTCCTCAGCTCTGGCTGCACCACCCGGGCAGAGGGTGAAGGGAGACTCCCGGCAGGCTGGTCTAGACGCAAGAGGCACATGACTTCTGATTAGCCTGACAGTGAGGCTGAGCGAGGATGGCATCCCATGTTAGAAATGATGCAACTTAAGCAAAAGCTCAAAGTAAATGTGTAAGTCTGAAATTAAAGAAGAGAGACAAAGAGCAGAGGGTGGAAGGGAGATGCTTGCTCTGGGCCTACCTCTGCTGCCAAGTGGCTGTGGGTCCCTCCACTGGTCACTTCTTTGGACCACAGGCTGCTCCCCCAATGAGATGAGAATAAAATCCTGCTCTGCCAGCCTCACAGGGTGTCTCTGACAATTAGAGGAGGGTCTGGGTGTTAAAAAGTTTGGGGAGCTATTGGGCTCCATATATTTTGAAAAACTGTAATCACTCACTGGGTTGGCAAGAAAAGGAAAAATTGTTTTTTGTTTTTTTTCCCCCTGATCTAGAACTTTGAGTCCCAAAGCAGCTAGCTCAGCAGCTTCGGGCAGACCTAGGGGAGGAATTCTGGCCTCCTGCCTCCTGCCCCAGTTGTTAAAATCCAGCACATAGCTCTAGAATAGAATGCTTCACATAGATCTAATCTTTAAAGCAACCCCAGAGGGGCCCACGGGCTGCTCTCCAGGCCCTCCCTGCAGGACCCCGGGGGCCAGCCATGCTGACTCTGAAACCAGTGCCTTCTTCCCAGGCTTACTTTCAGAGCCAGACAGCGTGGCACTGATCCCAATAATGGGAGATAGGCGCTTCTATCACCCCACTTTCAAGATGAGGACTGAGTCTGAGAAAGATGCGTTTGTCAACCCTACACAAAATTCAAGGCCCAGATCTCCTCTGTCTGAGCTCCTGGCCTTATGGTGACCGGATGTGGGGCTGGACCAAAGGTGGGTGGACACACCACCATCCCCCCTCCTGGTAAAGCCCTTATCCTCCAGGGAGGTTCTAGAGGCTTCCAGGAAGGGCTCCTCTAACCTGGCAACAACGGTGCAGCCAGCCTGGAGGGAGACAGTGAGAGGCTTTGCCTTCTCAGGTCTGTTCCTGGCTCTGCTGCAGAGGCCCTTGCAGGGACGGCTCTACTCACAGCAAATCTCCAGCTGTCCCCCTCTGGCAGGCGACCCTCTCCAGGTGACATGCCCAACTCAATCCCACTCAGGTGGAGAAAGCATGGTCTACACAGGTTTCCAGTCAGACATCACTGAGAGGCATCTTGGTTTCCTGGTCTCTGCTCAGGAGAGAGGGCTATCATCCTGGGGGTGGGCTGGCTGTGGTATTCTCTAAGAATCTTGGGAGGCCCTGTGATCTTTGTCTCAGAGTTTGTTTTATCTACCTTAGCTCTTGATGATATAGGTTCCAGTTCAAGATTAGGGGATACT